AAATGCTCCCACACTCTCCTCACAATCTCACTCTCTAGAAAAAGGTGGGTAAAGGTCTCAGTCTCATGTCGTCCAGTCTCAGAACAACACACACACCGAGAGGGGAAGGAGATCCCTCTCGCGTGTAGCACAGTATCGACAGGTATCCGGCGCAAGAGGAGGCGCCAAAGGAACACCAAAATAGTAGGCGTGAAAAGGTCACTCCAGATAGCCCTGAAGAGGAGATTAGGCCGATCCCTCAGCCTTATCTGCTCCCAAGCCGAGGTAGTAGAAAACACACCTGATGATGTAAGTCTCCACCTCATGCTATCTGAACCGTCCCCCGAGATAGGGATCTGCTGGATCTGATCTAATAACTGCTCGCTAAAACCCGCACCAGCCCCCAACTCCCTATCAAGCTTCCCCCTATCCCACGACCCGTCCGTCCAGAGGTCGCTCACGATCAGGTAGGGGGAATGCGACACCTGCCTATCTCTAGATATCGGCCTATCACTTACCCACCACTCATCCCAGACACTGACATCGCCCCCGCCTAAAACCCAAAAGATGTGATCCTGGGCTCGCCTCCCGACCCTAGTAAGGCGCCGCCACTGTCTGCTATCGTGATCAACAGCCGTGACCCAACAAGGGTGGTTGGCACGTCTAGGGCAGTACTTGCCGCTAGGTTAGTTGTCTTTTGTTGCTAGGTTATTTCTTTCTTGCTGCTAGGTTAGTTGTGTTTTCTTGCTGCTAGGTTAGTTGTCTTTTATTGTTAGGTTATGTTATTTCTTTCTCGCTGCTAGGTTAGTTGTCTTTTGTTGCTAGGTTATTTCTTTCTTGCTGCTAGGTTAGTTGTGTTTAGTTGTCTTTTGTTGCTAGGTTATTTCTTTCTTGCTGCTAGGTTAGTTGTGTTTTGTTGCTAGGTTAGTTGTCTTTGTTGCTAGGTTAGTTGTTCGTTCTTGCTGCTAGGTTAGTTGTCTGATGCTGCTAAGTTAGTTGTGTTTTGTTTGTAGGTTAGTTGTCTGATGTTGCTAAGTTAGTTGTATTTTTTTTATAAAAAAATTGTAACCCATAGGATTTGAACCTGGTACCTCATGGACGCAAGACAAGCAATGCAACCACTACACCGCTCAAGGTTGAGTGTCTTTTGTTGCTAGGTTATTTATTTCAATACAACGGGTCAACGCCGGAAGTCAACGCCGGAGTCAACTAATAATTATTTTATTATTTAATTAATATATATTTTAATTAATTTTGATCTAGACAAAATGAATGGCTAAGATTGAGTCTCACGTACTCATTTTAAGGAGTGGTCTCATTGGATCCATCCCCTATATATATACACATTACTCACATTTGATAATTTAATAAAATCACGAAAATCAATTAAACAATTAGACATTTAACATTTAATCACATTTTGGCAATAAATAATATTATGGCATTCAAGAAAGATAAATATAAATATTATCACAAAATAATAATAACAATAATAATAATAATAAAAATTATATTAATATTCTCAAATAATCCACAAATAAACGGGGCATTACACCAATTCAACCAGGTCGAATTCCAACGACCGTGAAACCATATGCCTCAAATATAAACTTGGCCTCAAAATGACAAACTCTCAAACGCATAGATTATAATATAGGCCTCACTCATTTTCTTACATGAATATGTGATAGGTACGCTCAAAATTGGTCAATATTTAAGTTTCAACATATGCTTGCCAATCGTTTAAATTACTTGAAAACATCAAAGTTCAAAAGATGTGAATCAAGAGGACTTCATGGGTTGTAATGTAGGCTTAGGGTAAAGGTAAGAATATATATAGATAAGAAGCTGAGATAAACAATCAAAGTTCTCGAGTAATAGAGTATTTGAAAGTCCGCTACCCACCGAAATAAACAATATAACACATTTACCATCCACCAAACAACTCCACAAACAACACCTAACTGCTCTAATCGAATTGCAACATTACTTGACCAGTTTTTTTATTCTTTTTTTTTACTTTATTTTTCATTGGAGAGTAACTTCTTCCGAACAAGATCGAACCAAACAGACAACATTCTGTAGGTGTGAACATTGGAGGTCATCCAAGTTTCCTACAGTAGTTTCCCAATGCTCATTACCTGTCAAAATTGACTAGTAAGAGGAGCAGAATCCATTCGATTCGTCATGTGAGCTCTCATGTTTTTTTCTTCTTTTTTTTTTAATATAGGTCAAATAATAGAAATCTAACTCCAATTCACCTCATTCAACAACGACACCATTTTCACCAATCATCACAAAATCAGTCAACAAAATACATTATATGCATGGCTGACAAGAAAAGCTCAAGGCTGAAACGGGCTACTAGGGATAATAGCGTTTAGGTTCAAAGAACAGGACTAAAGAGAGCTAATCAAACAAAACGCCTCAATCACTTTCGCAATTTCAAACTCTAATTGATTCCTTTCAAACAAACTCAAGGCAAGTTCTAATCATTCAGGAATATGACCAGTATCTCACAAGAAAGAAGAGTAAGGATCAAAACCTCACAAGGCAAATATATGTCACTCAAAGCAATTAAGCATATACCGAGGCAATGACCACACATCCGTTATCACAACTTCTCAATTTCATCAAACATTCATCAACAAATCATATAATTCACCAAAACCATGCTCAACAACACAAAAAACCTAAAACTAGACTGGTCACCACATAAGCATGCAAAAATCCAAATAAACTCCCCCACACTTGAAATGAGGCAATGTCCTCATTGACTCATTGCTTCAACAAGAAACAGGAATTCAAATAAAGGAACCTAGCACTTTCATATAGCGAACCAATACCAGCAACTACCACAAGAACACAAGACTCAAAAGAAAGGACAGGAGGAGAACAACTCAAAAAGGATAAAAAGAAAAAAGAAAAAGGGTGTGCAAACCGAAGATGCCTCGAAGAAAATACGTGCAAACTACTCGCCCACGATCCGCTCGGAACCTCGATATTCCTCCTGCTCAAGCTCGCAAACTCGTACTTGCCAAGAAAAACACAGAAACTTCAAATCTCCCATTATTCAAAGATAAAATAAAAGAGCAAAAAGAAAAATATCTAAGAAAGTAAATCACTTGGGTTGCCTCCCAAGAAGCGCTTGTTTAACGTCATTAGCTTGACGAAACCTGAAAAATAATCAACCAGGGTCCAGAAAGAAATGGCGATCATGCCACGCCTTCGTATTTTCGAGAAGTGGTAGCCCAGGCAGTTTGGCAAGAATGCGGGCATGGTGGATCCGGGTGGCTGTGTTCTGAAAGAAGTGATCTCGGGCACGAGCAATCCCCAGTTCTAAACGCAGAGCTTTTCCCACCCGAGCTCTGTCGTCAACTGGGATGATAAGCACATAAGTGGAGCAAGACGAATTGAATCCCACCCATTTCGTAACACAGTGCAACAGCCTCGAAGATAGATGCTCCAACTCAGAAGTGGGAGGAATGACTTGAGAATCAAGCCCATGGATTTCCACCTCTGAAATAACATCAACGTCTCGCTGGAGCTCATCATCTTTTTCGGCCTCACACATTCGCTTCATCGTATGGGCTTGAGTATCAAGCATGAGGTGTGGGTTGTCGACTTGTGCCTCAATCGAATCGAGACGTACAGTGAGGCTCTCTATTTGTGTGCTCAGCCGAGCACATCCGAGCTCAATCTCCTTTTCTTGGTTTGCTCGGGCTATCATCCAATCGAGGATGAGGTCGAGCTTGGCATTGGACTCTGAGGAGTTGTCCTGGAGCTCATTTAGATGCTCGGGCATGGGATATGGGTCCACAACCTCGAGCTTGTGGGCCTGGGACTCGATCGAGTCGATGCACCCACTAGACTTTCCACTTGCTCGCTCAATCGGGCACATCTGAGCTCAATCTCCTCCTCTTGTTTCGCTCGGGCCATCAATCGATCTAAGATGAGATCGAGTTTGGCATTGTAGGCGGCCTCTTCTTCTCGAGCTGATTTGGACTCTATAAAAGCAAGAATCTGGTCGAGCTTTTTGTTAAACTCGTGGGACTCATAAGTTTGCTCAACCGAAAAATCATTCCAGCACTGCTCGGAAGAATACGGGTAAGGTTGGGTGTGGTACCCGGGGAAACAGACCAGCTCGTCGTTCCAAGATGGGTAATGCAGGGAGGAGTACCCGTGATTGAAATTTATTGTACCTGCACACCAGAACCAAACAGCCACGCGTAGCCAAGAAAAGGGAGCAAAAAGAAGACAAAAACAAAGAAGACAAATAGAAAAACAAAGATGCACAAAAGAAAGAACAAAAATCCCAAAAACATAAAACAAAGAGAAACACGGAAAATAAAATCAATACCAAAACCAAATATCCTACTTGCCTTCCCCGGCAACGGCGCCAAATTTGTTGTAGCACAAATTATTATTTTTACCGAATACCGAATCGAAAGATTCGTTCCCCGGGTCGACCTCTCGAGGAAGGCTGTTCGGAATCTAACTTTGGTTTTGATTGCACAGAAAAAGAAAATAAATCCTAAACACTCTAATCAGATAGCAGTACGGATGATTATAAACTAAGAAATAATAAAAGCAATAATCTACCAAGAATATAAACTAACAAAGATAAAGAAGCTAGGGAGTCGTGGATAATTAATTCAAGTTCTAGCAAAGCCGGGCAATCAATTGTTCGGTTCGAGATTGACACTCTCGCTTAAACATCTAGCGGTTCGCTCTCAATAACTTTTCGTAACAAGGGTTTGAACATAGACGAACAAGCTCGAGCATACAACACAGGCCAATTGTCCCAATCCCAATAACTTTTCGTAATAAGGGACGGGTCATCGACAAGCACGTATTTCAATCTCAACCCATAGATTATTCAACTACAAAATCATCTACCTCATGCGAGCCTAGGTCTACGACTTCTCCTCTTTCGGTTCTGAAAGTCGCTAATTAACTAGAAGGTGATTAATCGACTAATCATATAGAACTGACAAACCTTAGCTCGATAAATTAACATTCAATTGTTTCCAATCGCAAGATCGAAGTGTCACTCTTCAATTATATCAATCAATCAAGCACAAATTCATCAATTCTGAATTAATTCAACTCACATAAGCATGAACAATCTTGAGCCCGACAATAACGAAATTAATCAAGAACAATCATCCCCTATCCCTAGCAGAAGGAATTAGCTACGTAAATCAAATTCAACAAATATAATCATTCTACTCAAGTCAACCATTATTCATGAATTAAACAAGAGAAAGAAATACTTACAATCAATCCAAGTTCAAATGTTGAATTTGAATTACAAGCTTAATCCCTAACTAAGAAAAAGAAGAAGAAAAATGGAAAATAATGATTAAGAGAAGAAAAGGAACGAGGAAGAAGAAAAAAGAAAGGGGGAGAAAGAGATTTTTGTGTTTTCTGGGGACTAGGGTTTTCACCCCGGTCGAGAGGTGGTCCCAAAGATTTTTCCCGATTAAATATATATAGTCGCACGTTGGCACGGCGTGGAAAGATGGCGGGCGTGAGAGAAGTGCGCTTCGCGGCGTGGTGGGGTGTTGTGCCGCGGCGTGGTGGATGCTGCGGCGTGATGCGCTGAAGGCTGGGAGCTGCAGTCGGGGTCGTGGCAGGGGCGCAACGTGGTGGATGAGTACTCTGCGGCGCGACAGGGCTTCGCGGCGCGGTGAAAGGGCGCTCCACGGCGGGCGCGCGGGGCCTGGACAGCTCGCACTACTTCACATTTTGGAGTCGTTCGGGCTCGTCTGGTATCGGAATTGTGTCCCGTTTTTTCATGTGTGTTCCCTACGAACTCCTCTATCTAATTATGCTTGCCCAACTAACTTTTGCCCAAAATTCGATCTTCCCGAAGCTTTCGACCTACACACCATAAACGAAGAAAAATCGAAAAAACATACGGAAAACACAAGAAAAACCAAGATAGAAGAAAACACGCAATAAACTACAAAACGAGATAAAAACTAACTAAAAAAACTAATATGGGGAAAAAAGGAAGGAAAAATAACAAGGAAAAACGCAACAAAAATGGGACAAACAACTCCCCCACACTTAAACCTTTGTTCGCCCCGAACAAAAAAGAAAAGAAAACAAGACATGAGCATGAATACAGTTTCAAATAAGAAGAGTTTCAAAATGTCCAATTCAACCAGGTCGAATTCCAACGACCGTGAAACCATATGCCTCAAATATAAACTTGGCCTCAAAATGACAAACTCTCAAACTCATGGATTATAATATAGGCCTCACTCATTTTCTTACATGAATATGTGATAGGTACGCTCAAAATTGGTCAATATTCAAGTTTCAACATATGCTTGCCAATCGTTTAAATTACTTGAAAACATATGCTTGCCAATCGTTTAAATTACGATGAGAGTGAGAAGGTAGTGCCCGGGAAGGTGGGCGACTGGTGCAAGGCGCGCGCGAGAGAGCGACGTGCACGGCGAACGGAGGCTAAAGCAAACGGTGCACGAGGGGTGGATGTAGGATGGACAGCGTGCACTTGGGGCGGCTGCAATGGGGCGGACGCACGAGTGGAGTGGAATGCTGCGATGGGCTCGACGAGCAAGTGTGAGCAAGGCGCGATGATAGGGGTCACGCGCGAGGCGCTAGTCGAGTGGGACGACGAGGTTGACGAAGCGAGCGAGCGTGACATATGCGCATGTGGCTGGGACGCGTCCGATGCGATGAGCGAGCGAGAGAGTGAGGCCAAGCGAGCGGACGTGCGAAGCACTCGCGCGACGGGCGAGCACGCGTGGACAGAGGGGCGAGAGTGCGCAGCGCGCACGGATGGCGACGCGTGGGAGGCGCGCGCACGCATTACCGCGCGCAAGGAGGACTAGAGCTAGCGAGGCGGCGCGCGACACGAGCGGCTAGGGTTTGGGCGCGCGACGACTTGGCGGGCAAGCAAAAGATTTGGGACGCGATTCTCATAGCTTATTTAGGAATCTTAGTTTGGTTAGGAGTCCAAATAAAAGGCATGTGCCTATTAGTATCCTATTAGTATTTATTAGTTAGGAAAGTCTTTATTCCCAAGATGTTTAGTTGCCTTAGGATTTATTTACTTGCATGATTTAGGAACTCTTCTTAGATTAGGATTAGATCTAGTTGGTATCTATAAATACTCACCTATGTACCATTCGAAAAATAGATTGATGAGTGAATAGAAAAGTCGAACGTATGTTCAAAGTTCTCGTGTGTTCTCTTGTGAGTTTACATAGAGTTCGTGATAGAAATAGGACCAACATCCGAGTTTCATCACAGTGATTGGAATAGGACCAACATCCGAGTTTCGTCACACCTATCGCGAAGTACGAAGGCGTCGGCGCGCGTATTAGCAACCTATCGCAAAGGGACCAAGGCGTCGACACGGGTTTCGAGCAAATCGAGCTAGACGTAACACACAATCCTTCATCACCGGAGCTCCACACGCCCTCACGCGCTGCCCGTGCACGGCCGAGCACATCTGTGCCGCAGTCCAGCGCCGCCGCGCGCGCCCCCGTTTTCACCGCGCCCGCCTTGTGTTCTTCACGCGCGCCCAGCGAGCTCTCAGAAGATGACCCATAGCGCCTCTGCGCGACCCGCGTGCGCCAGACGCAACTCGAGCGCGACCCGTGAAGTTCTCGTGTGTCTTGCGTGCACGCGACATTCTCGTGCGACCCACAGTGCCTCGCGTGCGTGCAACTGCGCTTCCCTGCGTGCGACCCGGCCCAACAGCGTGCAGCCCAGCCCAGTCCGCAGACCAGGCCCAACGCCTGCAGCCTAGCGCCAGTGAGCCTAGTTCGGACCAGACTCGACCAGACCCAGCCTAGTGAGTCCAAATCCAGCCCATCTCGGACCACTCCAGTACAGTCCGGCCCAAACCAGTCCTGAAGCCCCGGTTTGACCCAACGCGAGTTTCGAGCAGTCCGAGACAATTCGATGAGCCCGAGAAGCAACTGGAACGCATTGATGAGGCCAAGTCCGGCTGCCCAATGGACTCTATGGTTCATACGATCTCCTACAGAGGAAATCAGAAACGTCTCAGAGTCGGCAAAAATTTTAAACCGTAAGTCCTAATCCTAACTATAGATTCTGATGCGTTAGGATTTATTATTCAATAGATTTGAATGTGCACATAGCCGACGTTCCTAATAGAATCCAACAATACGATCATAAGATTTAATCTATCAACAACAATAAGATCTAGAAGGACCACCAATTATAGCCACCAAACGTACATGTAGAATCATTTAGACTAGATCATATATCTCTCTAAGCATACAATTGGAAACCCTTAGTAGTCAACTATGCTATTTGCCACAAATATTAGAACAATCAAACAATTACGGATTTAACGTTCTAAATAACGATATGTGTTTCAATAATCGAACAAATGGCCAGTTTGCATCAATCAATCAAAACACAATTGGTAATAATCACAAGAGATATATAAATAAAAAAGAATTAGTGTAGCGCCCGTTTGATTTATAGAATTTCTCGGAGTATTCTATTTATCGAATTTTATTTATGAGATTATATTTATTGTATTGGTCACGAGGTACTTAAATTATAAGTTTAAGTACTCAATCATTTTACTTTAAAACGTTCGTCGTTTGGCGATTTCGGTTTAATCGCATAGTTCGGATTTAACCCGTTCGTTTATTAGAATTTTCTCAATATTATATTATTATTATTTGCTCGATTATTGTTATTAACTGCTCGACATCCTTCGGTTTAGGCTTATTATAATTTAATTAGATGTAGCCTAATTAATATTATAAGTCGTGTAATTTTTTATTTATTATTCGTCGTTAATCGAATCGATCGAAAATTCTTGTTATCGCGTCGTATTCCTTTTGGCCCATTTTATCGGGATATATTTCAGCTCGATTATATTATTTCCGACCCAATTTATGTGAAATTCCAGCCGTTTTTAATTTAATTCCAGTCCATGTACTATGTTGTTTATATGAGCTCAATGCTATTTAAATTCTCGGTCCAAAAAGAGTTAAAATCCAGCCACTTGATTGTTAATTTCAGCCCAAGGGATATGTTCTTTTTATGGCCCAATGTCATGTATTATCTTGGCCCAAATTGATTAAATTATTTTTGGTCCACATTAGTTTTGACTCCTAGGCGCGTAAGTCCACCTTCTCCTCCCAAGACCGAGTCGTCGTCCAATTCTAATCTGCTGCGATTCTAGGGGGAAAAATCATATAGTTCGCTTGACAATCTCTCTCTCGTTCATCTCTTAAATTTCGGCCGAGACAGATCGACTTCCCTTCATCAAATCGCGAGTTCAATTTCACAAACCCTCTGCTCGATTTCGTGATTCGCCACCTGAAAATCTGTCGCCATTTTTGTCCAACGAGCCCACCTTCGAACAGCAGATGTCGATCGAGCAACAAGTTCCAGCTTTCCATGCCGGCGAATTTCTTCTATCTGCACACTCGGATGACTGTCCAAACGAGGAGCAGCGGCGGCCTCCCCCGTCCACCTCGCGTTCTGCTGGAGTGGAAAATTCGCCGTCATTGAGCAGCGGCTTTCCTTGTCCTTCATCAACCATCACAGGCGACCCTCTCCGCCGTCGTCGGTCAAACCAAAAACGAAGCCCTCCGCCGTCGAGCAGACAAGCCCTGTTCCAATTACAGTTTCCGTCAAGCCTCCATCGAAAATCCCAGCCACCGTCGGCGACCCTTCACCGCCTCCTCTACCATCGTATGCGAACGACCAGCGAGATCCACAGACGAGAGAAGCAACCGCTGAACCTCTTTCCACGAGCAGCCCCGCTGGCATCCGTTCACCACCAGTTGCCTGGAGCCCAGCCGTGTCGCAACTCTTCCGGCGACCCCCGACCTTCAGCAGCAGCCAGTTTCGTTTCTATTTCTCCCTGTCGACGATGCCGAGCAGCCCCGTTCGTGTGCGAGAGGAGCCCAAAACCGTAACAGCAGCCTTTCTGGCCTGTGTGAGAACTGAGAAGAGCATCGACACCCCGTCGACTATCCGTTTTGTAGCATCAGGTTGCAGCGGCCACACGAACCGGATAACAGCTCGTCGGACCTTCGCTCGACAGTTGTTCGTGTTCTTCACCGAGAAATAGCTGACATGTTTTTCGGCTAAGCACCAACAACCCCGTAAAACCGAGCCCTTCTTTCAGTAGGTATTTTTGGCTGAGCTTTAGAACCTCTATTTGGACGTGATTTACTTGATGTTATGAGCTTTACTCTCAATTATAGGAGGTTATATAAAAGCATGCTTGAGTTGTCGAAATTGGAAGCATGAGAAGTTTGTTTCAGGTGGTATTTGTTTTACCTTGAATGTGCTGAACTATCTTGCTTTTAATGTGTTATAAGATTGAGTTGAAAATGGGAGCTTGATTTTTTAAAGTTCTTCGTATTGTTTGTTTGTGACTCGATGTTGCTATTAATGTGCTGAGATTCATGAGTTGAGATGTGATAATTCAGTTGCTAGTAGTGATATTGCATCTAGTAATGAGTCGGTGGACCGGCAAAGAGCTTCTCATTTTTGTAAGGTTGGAGTTAGGAGATTAGCTCTAGCAAAGTAGCAACTCGATTTAGGTAGCAGCAAGAGCTCGGTCTTATAACTACATTAGGAGCTCGGTCTAATGGACCTTGCAGTAGCTCGGCCTTATGGACATGGTTGTAGCTCGGTTGTATAGTTACATTAGGCTCGGTCTTATAGCTACATTGGACTAATGGACCTTGTAGGAGCTCGGTCTAATGGACCTTGTAGTAGCTTGACCTTGTGGACATGGTTGTAGCTCGGTTGTATAGTTACATTAGGAGCTCGGTCTTATTTGGACTTGGTCTAGTAGCAACAGCAACTCGTCAACAGATTTTGGGCTTAGAAAGCTTGTCGAGAGCTGAGTAGATGCGGAAGTTATCAGATCAGGTCCATAGGGGACACGTGTAAGGTCAGGATTCAAAGATGGAATAATAAATCCAACGGAGGAGAAGCAAAGCGTAGAGAACAAGCTAGCAACTTCATATAAATAGATAAACCATTGGAGGAGGTAAGGTTAATAAATCTACAAACCCAAAATTCTATATACAGCTTCCTTCTATCTTTGATCTCTTACTGACTTGAGCGTCGAAGGTTTACCGCCGGGAGCACCTCTCGGTGTCTTTGCAGGTCTTGGAGCGGTCAAGGATTAGAGAGAAGCCGGTTCAAGTACAGGAGCACATCGATTGGCGCCTTCTAGTGGTGTAACTCAGTTACTCTACTGATTGACAGTAAGGTTAAGATGGAAACGACGATCGAAGAGGAGCAACCGTTGAGAAGGAATTTGGACGAGAGCCTGGAGGAGGCTTGGGTCACGCAAATGCCCTACGGAGGAGGACCACCGGTGGGGTGGACTGGAGGTGAGGGTCCAACGGCTACCCATCAGGTGAATTTGCAAGTGGTGAATCAGATCCCAATGGCGGAGCAAAGAAGAAGCCAGGAGGTGGATTGTGCAGACACCGGGGCTAGGCGTCGTGCAGGGAGGAGGTGAGCCGGAGATGAGGGTGACCAGGACGGAGTTGGACCGTCTTATTGCAGAGGCAATTAGCAGAGCTTGGTTGCACGAGCACAGGCGGAGGTGGTGAGGCCAGTTGTAGTGATGGCGCAGCCGAAGCAAGGCGGAGGTCGTTTGGATGGAGGTATGCCGATAATCAACTCGGTGGTGGAGTACCACGTTCCAGTGGTGTCTAGGCCATTAGGTGGCGGTAGCCAGCGGAGGGAGGAGCAAGAGGAGAGGTCAATGATGTCTCCGATGGTTAATGGCCATCCAGAGACGCGGTGTTGTAGCAGATGGCGAACCAGATTAAGGAGATGCAAGCTAGGTTGGACGGGAGGTGGCTGCCCATGTTGCAGGGTAATCCATTTACTGAGGAGGTTTTAGGTGCAGAGTTACCTCTGAATTTCAGGGAGCCTAACCTATACTACGATGGATCATCAGACCCGGCTAGACACTTGAGGAGCTTTGAGAATGTGGCGGTGTTGCATCGTTATATTGACCGGAGTTTGTTGCAGGGCTTTTCTGATGACTTTGAAGGGCTCTGCTCAGGATTGGTTTCACCAGCTTCCACCAGGATCTGTCTATAGCTTTGAGGCGTTTAGCTCGATGTTTATCAATCAATTCTCTAGTGCAAGGAAGCAGGAGAAGACCTACCTCTCACTGATCAATATGCAGCAACGTGAGAATGAATCACTGATGGATTATGTTGCCAGGTACACGCGAGCTTGTATGGAGGTTCCTACTGCAACAGAGGAGATCAAAGCGGGAGGGCTCACACGAGGTTTGAAGGTGGGGCACTGCAGGAACTCTTTAGCTAAGAAGCCTGCAAGGTCATATGATGAGTTATTAGAGATATGTGCTAAGTATATGAACATGGAGAAGATGGAGGCGGACTTCTTGGCACACGATCGAGTGAGGGGGCAAAAGCAGGAGGAGAAGTATAGACCAGATGAGAGGAGGTCAGGAGGTAGGGAGAGCAGAAATGAGGAGAAAGGGCGTATGGGTATGAACATTATACGCCACTGACATCACCAAAGGGGGAGATGTATGAGATGTTGGAACAGAGAGGGGAAACTAAGATATTTGGGAAGCCTCATCCACTACCTAAGAAAGAAGGACAGGTGCCGGTGCGAGAAGATCCTTATTGCAGGTATCATCGTGATTATGGACATTGGACGAACAATTGCAATGAGCTCAAGGATGAGATTGAGAGGCTCTTCAGAGCGGGGCATTTGAAGGAGTTTGTGGCTCTGGTAAGGAGAAGAAAGATGATGTGGAGGGGGGAGGGAAGAAGCGGAGACAAGAGGAGTAGGTTGAGAGAGCTCCTAAAAGGGGGGTGATCCATATTATTGTCGGGGGGCTGACGGATGGTGGTTCCAATGGGGCTAGACGAGCTAATCTAAGGGCGGATTGGGAGAGTGTGGCTGAGGTTCAGATGGTTTAGGCTATGCCGGAGTTGAAGTTTGGTGTGGGGGATTCCCAGGGGGTGTTGGTGCCACACAACGATGCTTTGGTGGTAGCGGCGGAGATTGCGGGGTATGATGTGGAGAGGATACTTGTTGATACGGGGAGCTCTGCTGATATAATGTTTTATGGGTGTTTCAGCAGATGGACCATGATGTTTAAATTAACCCGATTAGAACATCGTTGTTTGGTTTTAGTGGGGCGGAGGTGATGCCAATAGGGGAGATACAGTTGTCGATGGCGTTGGGAGCTCCTCATTTGAGGAAGGTGAAGATGATTCGATTTGTGGTGGTAAAGGCGGAATCAGCTTACAATGTCATATTGGGGCGACCTAGCTTTGTTTTATTTTCTTTATATGTTTAAATTTCCTTATTTGTCCTTGCCTATCTTCACCGCCCTTAATAATAATGAAAATTGTTAAAATGTAGGTGTTTGAGGAGTCAAGCCCTCGACCTACGTTTCTGCTTTTGTGTGCAATTTTCTACCTCAAATTTCCAGGTGTGTTTTATTTGAAATTTGCTATGCGATAAATTGTTGCTTTACGTGTGTATGGTCAATGTATGCATGTGAACCATGTAGCCTTCGATGTGAGCTGTGTTGGCCGTCGAACGGTATCCCCGCAGCTATAGAACGTACCCGTTAGATAATCTCCTTTGAGAATTTACTCCTACTGGCTTGGGCATCGATAGAAGCCCGAGGGGCATTCGATATTTTACCCCGCAGTAGTATATACGTAGGTGTGCACACGAGTCTTGATTTTATAACGATATTATGATAGGAGATTGGGATAATAAATTGATTCTTATACATGCTGCAATCATACTGTTATGGTTTATTGCATAGTGGTGGGCACTACGATTTCCATATGTGCTCACTCCCACCTGAAATTAACATTTCAGGTTGAGCAGGGCAGGCATGACGGCGGAAAGAAGAGAGTGGTGGTCGGTCTTTATGACCCGATTATTTAGTTGATGCTTCCGCTATTATGAACTGATTTTATGATTTTATGAAATTATGAACTTTGGGATTTTATGACGTTTGAAAATAATGATGGGGAGATGCCCCGTGAACACTGTGATTTTGGGAACCTGTTTTGGGTAGAATGATGATTTATGATTTTATGAATCCCGTTTTGGGAGTTGATGTTCAGATTGATGTTATGAGATGGTAATTGAATGTTGAAATTAAGTGAGTAACGCCACAAGTATTTCGAAATGAATTTTGAAAATTAAACTGTTTTTCTGAAAAGCCATGGATTGTTATTAAATCAAAGTGGGGCGTTACAATTAGGGGATAAAAATTTAATTAGATCTCACAAATCATGAAGAACCAAATCTAGATTAATCATTGGCAGGAAAAATAAATTAATTCTCCATAAATATGAGAGTCTTCTCCCAATTATTCATGGAAAATTAAATAAAAGAAGAAAGGAGAAGAAGAGAATAGAGGGGCGTGCCTTGAGGGAAGAGATCTAGCAGCCTGGTTTTTAATCCCCCCAGTCTAATCCTAATCCTAGGAGAAAATACGTAGAGATCATTCTCTCTCCAAAATATCCTAATAAAATATAATAGTCCATAAATAAATAAATACTTCATAAAGTCTTTATATTCTCTTTCCAACTTGAGACTCCTCCCTTCTTCCAACTCTTGTAGGAAATTAGCGTGTCCACGCCTTAGCTCAAATTCGTTTCTTTTGCTCTCCAATCATCATAAAATTCTAAATTCTGAGATATCCTACAAAAAATATAAAAATCAATTGAAATCAATAATTACACTCAAACAAACACCGAAAAAGTATGGAAAACATGACAATTAACATGCCGAAAATACGACTGATCAAATCACCCCACACTTAAATGATTCTTGTCCGCAAGCATCAAATCAAACCATCCCATAATCATCTCTATCGTCCGTTACCAACCCAATACTATTTTGCACACATAAAAAACATAGCTTAAGAAAGAGTCCTCATTAACCAACACCAATGAATAATAACCTCAAAAATCATATAACTTAAAACACATGCGATTCGACAACTTCTCACAAGATTCACTCAATGGTCAAATGTGTATAGGCTAAATATATTAAGTGTACGCTCATGTCAAGACAATGAAGGTTTTTACCATAAGCTTGCAAATATATCACACTCATCCACCTAAGATTCAATATGAATATACAAAATCGAAGGGTTTAAATGGATTGTAATGGGGCTTGGGTAAGGTGGGATAAAAGTGTTAGAGTAGGGTACCCGGCGTTCCAATCTAATTGGACGTATTCTACTTGTAAATACAGTCTATTGGAATTATATTATGAATAAGGCATTTCTTTATCTTAAGAGAAAGCATTTATCTTATAATTGCACTTAAGATAAAATCCCTAGATCACTTATGGTTATAAGGTATGGTTGCGCATAGAGATGGTGATCATGGAACATACCTTGAAAGCCGTGATCTTAAATACAGTTCCAAGTCGATGGATGTTTCGAGATGGGATATCGAATAATCCATAAAAGACTTGCACATAGTTTGTATGCTTGTTGGACAAGAATGTTGCATTCCATCAACATTAGCGTAAGACGTAAGT